AAGCAACTGCTGCCTCTGTTCTGGCTAAGTTGATGTATCGTGCATGGAGGAGTACATCCTGCCTCAAGGACAAAAACTACAACAGTTGCAGGAAAGTTAATGACAAGCAAGTGCTGCATCTGTTCTGGCTAAGTTGATGTATTGTGCATGGAGGAGAACATCCTGCCTCAAGGACAAAAACTACAACAGTTGCAGGAACATTAATGACAAACAACTGCTGCCTCTGTTCTGGCTAAGTCGATGTATCATGCATGGAGGAGAACATCCTGCCTCAAGGACAAAAAACTACAACAGTTGCAGGAAAGTTAATGACAAGCAACTGCTGCATCTGTTCTGGCTAAGTTAATGTATTGTGCATGGAGGAGTACATCCTACCTCAAGGATAAAAAACTGCACCATAGAATAAAAAAAAACTTTGTAAAAATTAGACTAAATCTTTCTTCCTTATGCTTCTTTAGATACTTTAGAGTCGAAGTTAATTTTATGAAAAAGTTGTATTTATTTGATGTTATACATAAGAATTTAAAAACTGCAAATTTTGATTTTTGGCTGTTTTCTGCATGCTCTGAACAAAACCATTTGTATTTATGGATTTTCTGAAGAGTTCTGAGCATAATACAGCACTCTAGGTGGAAATTTGAAGTAATTTTAAACAACACTGATTTGAACTTTGTAAGTTCAACCTAAGCATAATTTTGTTTATTTCTAACTAATCACTGTGTCACCTTCAGTTGTCATTGTGTGATGTAATTGCCCATGTTCCAGCTTTCAGAAGTCATAAGCTATTGATCTAAACATGAAATAAAAGCTCTTTTTTGTCTTTTCAGTTTTGTAAGCCAATATGGCTTCCAGTTCAGTGGCATAGAGATTGAAACTAATAGATAAAAGCTTAGCTTTGTGAAATGTTGTTATGTTGTTGGTGAATATCTTCTGCCACAAATACAGACCTGATTTTTTTTTTAAAGCTTGTGAAAAGTTTGCTTTATGATTTCATATGAACAGAACTGTATTGAGGTGATCAAGCCTATGTGATAATGATCATGCAAACATGGATACTTTGTGTAACATCACTGTTCAAAAATAAAATGAATTTAAGAGCTTGTGCTACTTCACTTGTTAGAAATAGAGGAAAATTGGTATAAAATTAGTGGAAAATAAGATTACTATGGGTATAAATTAGTTGAAAATAAGATTATCATGGGTATAAAATTAGTTGAAAATAAGATTACCATGGGTATAAAATTAGTTGAAAATAAGATTACCATGGGTATAGAATTAGTTGAAAATAAGATTACGATGGGTATAAAAATAGTTGAAAATAAGATTACATGGGTATAAAATTAGTTGAAAATAAGATTACCATGGGTATAGAATTAGTTGAAAATAAGATTACGATGGGTATAAAAATAGTTGAAAATAAGATTACCATGGGTATAAAATTAGTTGAAAATAAGATTACCATGGGTGTAAGATTAGTTGAAAATAAGATTACCATGGGTATAAAATTAGTTGAAAATAAGATTACCATGGGTATAAAATTAGTTGAAAATAAGATTACCATGGGTATAAAATTAGTTGAAAATAAGATTATCATGAGTATAAATTAGTTGAAAATAAGATTACCATGGGTATAAAATTAGTTGAAAATAAGATTACCATGGGTATAAAATTAGTTGAAAATAAGATTACCATGGGTGTAAGATTAGTTGAAAATAAGATTACCATGGGTATAAAATTAGTTGAAAATAAGATTACCATGGGTATAAAATTAGTTATTTTTCTGAACACATCAGTATTCTAGTGCAAAGTTAGCCAGCATTTTCACTAAGCACAATAGTGCTTAGTATGTAGGGGTGGGCTGAGAAAATAATGGCTGCCGCATACAATCTATCACTCTATGATACTTACAAATAACTGCTTAAGTTAACTTATAGCCTTATTTGAGCACTTAATTACCATTATTGAGTGTTTCACAGCTTGTATAACAGTAGTATTATTCTGTTCTCCTTCCACATGATTTTTTGTAGGGAAATAATAAAAAGGAAAACTACTATTTAGCAGTGAGTTCAGTTTATAAGTTTATACTATTTCCATGTTCATAAATAACAGTTTCATTTCTGGTCACTGGGTGGCAGCACAAGTTGCACAACAATTTCAGTAAAAATAATTAAATAAAGAATAATTTCAATGAGATTAAGTATGTATGCAACTGACAGATTGGTGTATATGTTATTGATGTCTGAGTTTAAAAATACCAGTTTCTTGATTATCAAAACAATACATTATATAATGCTCTACTTTTCTTCGTATTTTCAGTAGGGCTGGGCCTGGCAGCTGTGTGTTTATGGCCTATTAATTGACATGACTCTAGCTTGTGGTGGAGTCGAATGTATTCATATGCAGTGAGTTTTGGTAAAGTTGGGAGGCGTGGGTTCTGTAAACATCCCATTAACGTTGGTCCAACTCTAAGGAGGTACTTGTACCATCCTGGAGGTACCATTCCACTTTCACTGACCCCAGTGTAATCCAAAATTATAGAAACCAACAAAACTGATATGATGTTAATAACATATATTATCATTCAATTATAAAAAATAAAAAAAATATTCACATATCAACCGACTGTGCATGTGTTTGTACACAACTCACAAATATGAGGTTGTGATCTAGTTGATGTTGTTTTTATAGATATCTGACCTGATGATGATAAAACCTTGTCGAAACGTTGTACGTTTGCTGTTATGTTAAACTTATATTAAAGTTTTTCTTCATTACCCATTCAAGCCGTCTCCCGCCATCCCTACATCATACTTAATTTTTTGCAAAAATATTTTTTAATACTTATTTGTCCTCTTTTTTTCTGAAAACGATTTCACTGAACATGCCAGCCGAAGTAGTAATAACTGTACTGTCACGTGTAAGTTCAGTTGGTTTGTTCTAAAGTTGAACAAGTTGTCACAGTCAATCCCATTATTTGTATATCTGTTGTCGAAAATTAAGGATGGCAGCAGATAACCATAGTTGCTTTGCCATAACTGTAAAACAAATATGCGCGACATTGGTGGCAATGGGAATTGAACCCTGATCATCTGGCCTTGATGGCCCTAAGCTGAACAAATTTCAGTTAATCCAAAAAATATTAATAAGAAATGATAATGGCAGTATTTCAAATACTCGGATTGTTGGAATTAGTTAACTAATTAATTTAATCGATGGACATCGGTATTTGAGTTAATTACCACTTGTAATGGATGGACGAATAGGGATGTAACTAAGGAAAATGGAGTGGTGTAGTAGGATAGATAAAAAAGATAATATGTGTGTGTGTGTGTGTACAGACTTTTTTTATTTTTCCTTCATAAAAGGAATTATGGAACTTAACAGAGGCAATAGGTGAGGCAACCACCAGAGGGCTATCAAGAGCAGAAATCAACCGTCTCCCAACTCGAACCTTCAGCCAGACAACTATATCTGGAAGTGATAGTATCTCAGCTGGTTGTAGTAGCATCAGCAGACTAAGAGATAGTTCATTAAACCACGAGAAAGAGTGCCGGGTGTGCCTTAGTTCCTATGAAACTGGAGAAGTCTTGAGGATACTGCCCTGTTTTCATGAATACCATGCAAGTTGTATCGATAAATGGCTCAAGGTTAGTATTTTATTTCTATAACTGCCCATGGAGATTTTATCATAAATGTGTTTCATTTTTATTTCATCATATTCTTACTTGAGTTAATTAGTATTTGACTACGGATGGTCAACAACAGCAATGACTACGGATGGTCAACAACAGCAATGACTATAGATGGTCAACAACAGCAAAAAAAAATGGAATGTGCATGATCATAAATAAAATCAAGATAACGAAGACTCGTTTTGTTTTGACCCGTTTCATTTTTGACGTATTCTAGTGCTTATGTAGGATCTGGATGTAGTGTTTTGTAATGTTTCCTTATATGTGAATATCCTTAACTATGTATATTTATAAATAAGATAACATTTTTGACGTATTCTAGTGCTTATGTAGGATCTGGATGTAGTGTTTTGTAATGTTTCCTTATATGTGAATATCCTTAACTATGTATATTTATAAATAAGATAACATTTTTGACGTATTCTAGTGCTTATGTAGGATCTGGATGTAGTGTTTTGTAATGTTTCCTTACATGTGAATATCCTTAACTATGTATATTTATAAGTAAGATAACAATTATATTTATTTCAATATGTGTGTGTTTATATATATGCTTTTTTTTTACTTTCTAGAGCAATCGAAGTTGTCCAACATGCAGAGTTGAAGTTTTGTTTGAACAATAGGTCTGATTAAGTATCGACAACGGTTGTTATACAAAGCAGATAAAACTTCATTCTGGATTTTTTTTTCTTCTCTGTATGGTGAGGTATATAAATTGATTCTTTGTGTTAAGGTTTATTGTCTGTGTTAACTCAACAATTTGTAGAAAGATAACATTTTCTTTTATTGTAATGTCTGCTAATACTTGTGTTTTTTGTGTTAAAATCACTTTTTTTTTTTTTTTTTTTGAAAATATGGCAAAAAAAAAAAAAATATTTTTAATTATGCGACTACATAGCCAAATTTTTATTGTATGTTTTTCTTACTTTACACAGCATTAAAGTGCTTACTGTACAGGCTGTTCTTGAATGATCTAGTTTCATGTAAAGTTCAAATGAAGGTTCGTATGCCATATTCCCACACATCTAGGTTTTATAAGTTGAAATTCAGTGGCTCAAAATGAAGGCAAAATTCATGTGAGGCTGGATTTGGTCCTTCTCTGGCACTCTGTTAACTAACAAGGTAAGGCACTGTTTATATATTTGGCATCGTATATAAAAAAAATACCACTTTCAAGACCAATTCTTTGGTCTGTCACTTTTTCACTTTGTGGGAATCTTAGTCTGTGAGCCCACTAGTCTGCTTTTGATGCTGTAAACAGTTCACTTTTGTTTATTTGGATGTGTAGGTGGTCACAAGCAAAAACGTCATTTAACTGATCAAATAGTGGTCATGTATGATCAGATATTACTTAATTTTTTTAGTCAAAGAAATATCAGTAAGCATTAAAGACTGTTTACTTTTCCTGTTACCTTATACATGGTGAAGTTTCTGAAGATGTTTTAGTCCTCTTGCTAGGCCATTTTTAAATCTTCATCTATTATAGAGAAATTTAATACAACCATCTGTCACTTGTACCAACACAACATAGTTGAACACTGGTTATATTTAATAAGGCTGTAAGTTATGAATTGTCTTCAAAAAAGAAAATAACACCTTGAAAAGCAGCATCTTAAGCTAGTCAGATGAGGTTTTGCCTCTTCCTCATGATGTTCGTCTTCTGTTGTCGTCAAGTGGAGGTTGTGGAGATAGTCACATGCATCGTTGGTCACATTCTTGTTTGGAAGTTCTCTTCTTTTGAAGAAGTAACAAAATGTAACAAAAATAGGATGGTTGCCATGGTGAAGGGCAGAAGCTTTTCCAACAGTGTTATCAGAGGTGGCATTACTTGAGGTTTTGCAACCAAATTCACTGGTTCTTGCTTTAAAAATTAACCACAGTGAGACTACATACTGAATCAAATTTTTCATCACACAGATTTTTTTATAACTTGGGTTGACCAGATACACCAGTGGTCAGCAACCTTTTTTGATCGCTGGTCAATTATTTTTTTTTGGAAAATTTAGCATTGTGTTGGGTCAGTGATAATCATATAATTATTAATACCGGTACATGTGTTTTAAATGTGTATGTTTATTTACATACAAAAAAATTAATAGTTCGACCAGTTTGATATTTTTCCCTGAAATTGATCTTAAAATTCTCTGTAGCCGTGACTCCTTCCTTTAATATCGTTGTTCTTCTCACATAGCCGAGAAATTTGAACTGAACAGTGATTGTGCCCTTACGGGTTGCAATGGTGAAGCCAACTTTTGGCGGGTCAGCCAAATTATTGCCACAGGTCACAGGTTGCCGACCACTGAGATACACTGTTTTGTAGGATCGGGTGATAATTTGACCGTATTCTGTCTCTCCTCAGTCTTAACGAGTTGCAGTGTTTTCTGTTTGCATGTGTGTGTGTGTGTGTGTCGTTCATTAGTGAAAAATGATTTCTTAACATCAAACAGCATATCTGTGTCTGCTTCCACTCCTTTAAATTGACTGTATTACAAGCTGAAGAGTTCCGAGTTTCTTGGCTAGAATGTATCTTCATTATGGATATCGGGGGAACCCTAGAACTGTCTTTTCTGAAACAGCTAACTCCAAAGTCTTTTTGGTGATTTGAAGATGTACGAGACACTTAATTGACAAAATCAATTCAGTTGCACAAAGTATACTGAAATAGTGTTGGAGTAGTTGATACAACATGTGTTCGTTTGAGGAAGTATAAAATTTCTTTACTCTTGCACATATATGTTGATAATTTTTTCTAGTTTTATACATCAAGTAGACTTTATATTGGCTGTGTTATCTGTCAAAACAGTGCTTTTCTGATGGTCCCAACTCAGAAATTATGTTTCACTATTCATTTACATGTAATTTGAAAGAAAAAAAAAGCTGATGGTGCATTGTCTACCTTAAAACTTATTACTCCTTCATTGTTAATATTACTCTATTAGTTGCCATCAGTACATGAGGGACATCTTTGATTAGGGCATTACTATTGTTCTGGACATTTATATTCTCAATGTAAAAACTTCACAGACTATTTACATCTGGAAACTATGAGGGACTTTTGTGATTTGGACATTACTGTTGTGGTGAACGTCTGTATTCTCATTGTAAAGATTTCACACAAACTACATACATGTGGAAACTAGAGATATTATTGATAGGACATTACTGGTGTGCAGAACATCTGTATTATCAGTGTCACAATTTCACACACACTACTTGGATCTAGAAACTTTATAGACTTGAGTACGACATCAAAGAAATCCTCTATACAGGAGTTGTCAACAATGTAGGAAAAAGAGGCAACCTGTGTCTTCTGGTCAAACAGTCCAGTAATGCCAACTTGATATAGACTTTTGGTAATTAGAAACTGAAGATGGTAAATGACGAAATTCCTCCAGTTTTGCCAATTTTTTCACTGTCAAATTCTGTAGAAACCCTATTTTGTTATGGAGAAGTTTTCTTGCTACTATAATGGCAAGAGTCAAGTGAGACCATGACTAGTACTATCTTTTAATAGTCACTGGACACATAGGGCAAAAGTTTAATAAATTATCTTTAACTTGATAATTAATTGAACAGTACATTCGCTTGCTTTAACCATTTTACCATCTCGATGGTAAGTAAATAACTTCTACTAATGCTTTTTTTGTGTGTTTTTCATGACCAGATATAATTGTACTTCATTTACGAATTGATACAGGATATTTAATGTTACGAAAACTTAACACCAAGGTAGCAGATAGCCTGAAGATGTATCAATAGGGTAGCGTATATTACATAAAACAAGCTTATTTTAATTTTGAAATATGTACTATGTAGCTGACATATACGTGTTACAAAATAAATACGACATACATAGAGATCTTTGACTTACAACACTTTTAGCTGAGTATGTCATGTGTATAATAGCTTCTCTACTAGTATTAATGAAGATATTGTTGTTCTTTAAAGTGCTTGTGTTTTTTGACTCATTTTATTATGATAAATTAATGTTAATTATAACAAATTTTCACCCAGCTTTAAAAAGTATAGTGGGATATACATATATGTATATATAAGCTTAATATATATTCTTTATACCAGGGAGCAATGGTTTATTAACAGTTGTAATATTTTGTATAAAATTGGAGATGGTCGTCTTGATTTCTATTAGGTAACACTGCCTCTATTTAATTCAGGGGGGGGGATCTTCGTCTATTGGCTTTTCAACTTTTACAGTAAAACACTTCTTTCTGACAAATATTTCAAGATATACTGAAGAAATTATCTTTTGCATAATTCCCAACTAACAATAATACTGCAATAAAGATTTAGAATAATATGAATATTTCAACTAATAAGCACGCATTTTGACAGATCCAGCTTATCCAAAATAATATATTAGCACAACATTAAATCAGCATCAAGTTCTCCCGAACTTCTTCAACCCATATGGAACATTTAGAAGTAGTATAAAATATCTACTTAATAACTTGTGGAACATTTAGAAGTAGTATAAAATATCTACTTAATAACCTGTGGAACATTTAGAAGTAGTATAAAATATCTACTTA